AAAAAGTCATTGTTTGGTTGAAAGTATTCAAACAACCACAGCCAACGATCAATATCTGTTATCGACTCAAAAGTCTACCCTATTTGGATCAAAGATTGATTCGAGCCATTCAAAGATATGACTCTCCGAGGGGATAAATCTCTCACTCCCTCTCGCCAAGAGAGTCCCATCCCATGAATCGACTACAAGAAAGTCTGATGAACTGATCTTTAAGTAGAGGCTTGGTGAAATATCGGCCATTTGCTCTTTTATAGAAACATGCTTGATGATGATGGTTTTCGCCAATATGTGGGAAGGAAAAGGATGTAGGCGCACATACAAGTGCTTATTAATAGTACTTGGTCTTGTTCAGTGATTTGAGGCAATCTCAAGGCAACTATGATTGTCTTTGAAAACGGGGCATACAACCTCTGGAGTGTCCATAGACAAGTGGAATCCCAGGGAACTTAATTCGTTTATCATATTCATAACAACAATGACCGCTTCTAGGGATGTAGCTGATGTAATATACTCGGCTTCAGTTGTAGATAAAGCAACCAATGTTTGAAGTTTTGTATTTTTATTGTTAGGATATGACAAAATATGAGATTTTACGTTCCTTGAAAAACTATACAAGTACAAAGTTTTGACACGCACCATCGAATTTTGATCACGATGTCAGCATTTGACATGAGACTGTCAAACAAGATAGTGAGTATAGACGGGCAGATGACAAAAGGAGTCTTTGACTTTGAAGAATCTTCAAAAAGTAGGGGACACAAGATGTAGGGTTGGGGTTAACGTGACTGTCATATTTGTCACCGTAAATGGCCCTTTGGATAACGAGAATAATGTAAGGATATCAATGGGGTTCCTTGTGGATAGCAAAGGGGTTCCTTGTGGGAAACACGCAAAAAGTCACAAGGGACTTTAGCATACTGCTTCCTCAAAAATGGTGGATGAAGCATGGTTCTTGGAGGAGGTTGAGTCTTCCTTCTTTGAAAGCAAGATTGTCTTCTTGTTCTTGTATTGTTCGATTTGATCTTCTGCGAACTTGACAAGGTCCTCTAGAGTTGCCGAAGACACATCAAAACCATGCTCATCATGAACAAGATCGGCGGTATTGTTGTTGTCAAGAGATGATGGCATCTGATAATCATAATCAGGAGGAAATGATGGAATCCGATTGTTGATTTCTTGGATTCTTGCAGAAAATTGATGTGTTGTCCATGTCGACTTCTTCCCCATCTTACATACCAGTAGCTTCTTTTGGCATCGGACTGCATTCTTTGGAAAAAATTGTCTTCTTAAGAGCTAGGATAGCATTGTCAAAATCCTTGTAAGTGATCGTACCCTTGTTTGTTGGGATATGACGAAATATGAGTTTTTACGTTCCAAGAAGAAACTATTCAAGTACTACGTTTTCGACACACACGGTCGGATTTTGATCATGATTTCAGGATCCGACGCAAGCAGACAATTTATATCCACACAAAAAGGGAAAGACCATATACAAGTGGAATATCGATGTTGTGTACGATACAGTAGGGAATAATACAAGATGTCCCAAAGTACTGCATTCAACACAGAATCCTCGTAGAAGTCGAATAGAGTTCTGTAAACAAGGGATTTTCCAAGGGAAAGTAAATTTGTTTTGTTGCCTTTTGTGATTGAATGTTAGAATAAAACAAAATGTGCTCTATCGTGAGTGCCTCTAGCGCTTAGAACAAACTCTCTGCAATCTAAATTTGTAATCGACTGTACAACACTTTCACGACAATAGTTCTCCTGTGTTAGGTATACTTTGAGTGATATTGTTCCTATTTGATTAATGTTTGGCTTGAATTGATGACTCAATCACAAAAGTGAGTTCAACGATAACAGCACGGCCTTATCTACAAAGGAGTGAGTGATTTGTTGACTATGGGACGTTCTTCTTCTGGTGGAGGAAAAGGACGTGTAACTCCTCAGAAAGTCAAGAGCAATTCGAGTTCAACAGTTGTGAAACATCTATTTTCAACAAAAGATGAAAACAATGGAAAGGCAAGATCGTTGTACGAAGATGCCGAAGAAAGAGTGATTGACTATATCCAAGCTTCTGGAATGAAATGTTCCGAAGACATGGTGAAATCAATTCGAGATGGAAAGTCAATCGACTTCAATGCGATTGCTCCAAGATTG